ATATATTATCTATCCTAACAGAAACATATTCTGGGCCTCATGGTTACCCTTATTGTCAGTCCACTCCTCTTCACATGTGGTGCCAAAATATAACCTTAAATTAAAACCTAAAATCTAAACATTTGCTGCGTTATCTGTTTGAGTCTGATTTTATTTTATTCATTTTATTTTTTAATGTTTTGAGTTGCAGGGTTTGTTCATTTTAGTTGCACTCATTCAGATCATGTTTTGCTTTGCAGTGCTGGGAACAAGGGTGGGGCTGACAACACAGTTTGCATGTCACGTGACGTCACATTAACAAATCAACAATTACCTTTCCCTTTATTCTCCAGGAGTTGCATAAGAGCTTGGAAGACGCGCTTAGAGGTCAGCTCCATGGAAATGTGTGAGCGGAATCCTTTAAATCCCGGATATGTCGGATCTCTGTTGAATTTCGCTCCCCCGGAGTCGCTGTACTTGTCCAACTTGCGCGGCAATGGAGCCCACCTACCGGGGCTGCATCAGCTGCCGTACAGCCGGAGAGAGGTGTGCGCGCAACCGTGGACTCCCTCAAGTTCGTGTGGACCYGCGGCACCTCCGGCTCAGAGTCGCGCCTTCGGAGGCTTCTGTCCTCCGTTCGTGCCCGGCGGCCACGTCAAGGCGCAKCTGGAGGCGCAGCAGGACGAGGCTCGGTGCTTCCAGGAGACAAGCAGGAAGACGGAAGAATCAGATGCTTACGCTTCGGAGCACGGGCTCCGTGGTTACTCRGGACTGGACGGCTCTGTGACACAGCTCGGCCCAGAGTCAGCAGCTCCTCTAAGCCGCAGCAAACTGGAGCAGGATCCCTCTGAGGCGTCTTCAAACGAGGCGTGCTGCAGGACGACTTTTGGCCAAGGTTAAGTATGTTAAAGGAGGCTGGTTGTTCTTTTTATTTCTGCTGGTATTTCAATTGATGTCCTTGATATTTGAGTTTACACTCARTTTGCTCTAAAAGACACATGATGTCTGCTTTTTGGACGTTTATTTTACACCAAGGCCTGTAAAAATCAAATAATGTTACAGAGAAATGTTTAACATTTTAAATCGTTTTGTTTTAGTTACATTCCTCAAACACTGTTCTGACACTGTTCAGTGGGCACATTGAACGAGTTTTGGTCAGTTATTTGGCACATAATCATCTTGTAAAATACAAATTCTTAAAATGTAAAMCATTTTAGCTGAAGTCTGTGTTAAAGTGTAAACTGTGTCCCCTCCTCCCCCTGCCAGGTGTCCCGTGGTGCTCCTCGCATGTGAAATCCAGAAAAAAGAGGAAGCCTTATTCCAAGCCTCAGCTAGCTGAACTTGAGAATGAATTTCTGGTGAACGAGTTCATCACGCGGCAGAAACGCAAAGAGCTGTCGGACAGACTCAGTCTGAGCGATCAGCAGGTGAAGATCTGGTTTCAGAACCGCAGGATGAAGAAAAAGCGCCTCGTGATGCGGGAGCAGGCTTTCTCCGCATACTGATGACCTTTGGACTTGATCCTGACCAGCATTAGAGCACCAGGATGGGTCCACCCTGTCTCCAAATGTCTTCACACGTCAGTAAACTGCTACATTGACAAAAAATAACAATATAATATATATCCCCTTCTGGATTAATCAGAGAGGCTCTTCAGCATCTGAGAATTTCCACAGTATGATGGACCGGGGGTTTTCTTTGCGCTCCTGTTCCAAACACCCTTTGGTTCAGTTTTACGCAGAAACTGGGAAAATGTGTTTTGAGTTAAAAAAAACGATCTAAAACACAGATTTTGCTTCTGTAAACACATCATATGTAAACAGTATTTGTGAAGAAAACAAAACACAGTTACAAAGCTGATCATTTTTGGAATATTTCTTGTTCAACACAGCTCCTTTTCAACTAAACTGTGAGGTCAGTTTGATCAGGAATGTGGATAAATGGTTTGGTGGTTGTCGTGCGAACTGCTCATGCGCAGTGGTTTTATTGTGTGAATTACTTGTCAAGTTTACTTTTACTGATTGACAAAAGTCAGTATGACACAATACATTGTGCTTGCATGCTCCTTGTATAATTTTGTAAGAATGTCGAACACTTTTAATGCGTCAGGTTGCAAAGATTGTGTTTGTGTCTGGATGTTGTGCGCCTCTTTCGGTTTTATAAGGAACWGACTTTTCAAACAACACACACAAAAAATTGAATCTAAATCGTTACTTTTTRCCAACTTTATGTTGTTGTCTTTGTCTAATGTCAACATTTTGTGTTGCCACGAAAAAAAAAAAGATTTTGTCCAAACTATTGCAATGAAATAATAGTTGATTCTTGTATTTAAAATATAAATTTAACTCTT